TATAAAAGTTTGATATAAGAATATATATGTACAAGTGTGACTGATATGTAAAGTTTTTTTAGTCTTTCTTACTGAGATTTGTTATGTAGGAAAATTGCAGTTCAAATAAATGTAAATCTACAATGTGTGGGTTGAGTTTAGTCTCCTAATCAAATTCCTTGTATTTATTGAATCATGTTGGTCAGATTGCATTCATATAAAAACACATAGCCTGACAGAATTCTTTTAACTTGAAACTGATTTTTTTTGAGTGACACTTTCATAGAAACATCTGGGTTTATTGATGCATAATATCAATTTTCCAGAATATTAAGATGCATTGAAACTGTTGATGAAGGACTTTAATTTTATCAATAGGAAGATTAATGTAAATATTATAGAAATCAAATGTTTCTACTGTTTTAGCTTCAAAGCATTTAATTTTCTGTTTACACGTAATGGAATTACCAATGGTATGAATGGATGAATATGAGTTCTCTCTCTGATAATATTATAGTATTTCATTAAAGGCTGTTTAATGTATTTCAAACCATTACCTACTACAATTGACTATTCATTAGTTGTAGCTTTTTTAGACCCAGCAATAAACCTGTATTTGTATGTTGTTTGGGAATACGAAATAATTTGTGTATTACATCATAAGATTTAACAGAACCAAAGTCTGATAAAACTGTAACATGCTTTTGTTACATACTTTCCATATTGGTTTTGAGAAAATAACTGCCATGTGTTGACACCATCACTGAGACAATAACACAAAGGTTTCCTGTATCAGAAAAGATTTAACACATACTCTGTAATAAATCTTGTGGCCATAGCATCAAATTTATACTTTCTAACTACTTGTGGTATTCTCAGGTAAACTGAGATATTAGATAGGTTATTAGTATTAGACAGGTTAGCTTTAGTAATCTGTGTTTGAAAACTTGACAGTTAATTCTACTAGATTTTTACCAGACTCAGCAGCCCTCTTTTTCTCAAGATGTCTCCATCAAACAAAGCACTTTGAATACCAGGTAGGGCTGTGTAGATTTTGACTCTGTACTAGAGTTAGAAAGTTGAAGGAATGCTTTTACTGATAGAATGCCTTATTTTGGATGTAGAAGTATTTATGACTGAGAGAGAGAGAAAGATGGCTGCTGGAAAGAAGTATCAAGTATAGTTGAAGCCTTCTCCTGGATGTAAGACTATTGCTCATGTGTGGAGCACCCAGACAATTCGAGTTGATGGTACACCTGAGAATCATTCACAGCTTAAGGTAAACATGGCCGACACAGAGTTGGAAAAAGTCTGAACATTTCATTGGTGGATGATCACTGCCATTCAGAGTTGTTTCCCCTGCAGGTGAGGCAATGGGCCCTATAGGTAAAGATAGTGAACCAATGAGTAAAGTAGTGTCCAGAATTTTAAATTTACACCACATTTGACCAAACTTATGATACTTGGGTTCATATGTGACTGTACATTGAGTTGCCAGGAGTAACCTTTTACCCTGGGCTAACCAGTGGGTTTTTGGTGGACCTGTGAAAATCTACCATCTAGAATCAAAGTCATTGGTGGCATCTCCTTCTGGAATTGGTTGGGATCCCAAAAGTGAGAGAACAACAACTAATGACTCCATACACAGGGTGCACCAAAGTTTCCTATATCAGTATGGAGACTTTGTTATACTCTGTCTTTCTGTGTATTCATCATATTTGGTTCAACAAAGACCAATCTTAAGAGAAAGAGAGTTTCCGAACCAGATAACAATCCAACAGAAGCAACCATCCACTCACTTGTGCAGGCATACATGCTGTTTTTTTTTATTCTTTAAAGTAAAGATTGTGTTCCTTTCTTTCGATTATGTTTTATGTTGTATTATGTTTTTGTTTTGTTTTTACAATTGAGATGAAAAAAATAGTTGCTCTATCAATGGGAATGATGATCTATCTACTGTTTAAATATGAATGATGATCTATCTACTGTTTAAATATGAATGATGATCTATCTACTGTTTAAATATGAATGATGATCTATCTACTGTTTAAATATGAATGATGATCTATCTGCTGTTTAAATATGAATTATGATCTATCTACTGTTTAAATATGTAATAAATTCATTCTTACAGATGACATAGTTACTGTTGTTAATAGTGGTTAGGGTGCTTGACTCGCAATCTGAAGGTCGCGGATTCGAACCCCCGTCCCACCAAACATGCTCACCCTTTCAGCCGTGGAGGTGTTATAATGTGACGGTCAATCCCACTATTTGTTGGTAAAAGAGTAGCCCAAGAGTTAGCAGTGGGTGGTGATGACTAACTGCCTTCCCTCTAGTCTTACACTGCTAAATTAGAGACGGCTAGCGCAGATAGCCCTCTTGTAGCTTTGCGTGAAATTCAAAACAAAGAAGCAAACAATCTTTAGAAAGGCCATTTCCTGGGAGTCTAAATTTCATATTGACCTTTCCATTCAAAATTAATTTATCCGCTTTTTGTTTAATTAACCTTTTTTATTCTACACGATGATATTGTCATTATATAACTTTAGTTTTTTATTTGCAAAGTATTTCACAAACAACACTTAACTTGCGTTTAATTTCCCAGAAAAAATAACTTTGCATTAAATACAGTTACTATAAGCTTTCTCGACTTATTAATGTACTTATCATTTTGTGAACACGCATTCAGACGTTTCTGTAATTGCAGCTAAATTTACCTTCATTAAAAATTTCTTTACTTTGAAATAATTTATCTTCGTTTCGTTTCGTAGACGGCTATAACACCTTTTAGCTACTTTTTTCTTTGTACGGATTTTATTCTTCATTTTTATGACTTTCTGTTTCATCTTGTACAATCAAGTCACACATTGAACGGTCATTAGTGTTTCATACTCTGTGTACACTCTTATAAAATCCATTACCATACTTTATTGTTTGCTTCATGTGTGGTTATAACAAATAAAGTTATGTCTAAGTAAGTTTGTTTGTCTGACCACGTAAAAGTTTTTCAACTAGACCACGATTTAACGATCTAATACACAATGCCTGAAGAATGAGTTGCTTAAATGGCGTGCTTGAATATTGAAGCAAAGGGCATGTGAGCTACTGCATATGTTTTGCGAGTAGCGACTAGACTTTATTAATAAAAAAAAAGCAAAAGAAAATGCAGCATGCGCATTTCTACAAATAAGAAAACAATCACATCTAATGGGTCGTCAGCATTTCTTCCTTTCAGAATAATCTCTGTCAAACTAAGCGATCACGCATATTGTAGAAATGGGAGTAAATGGGTGTTTTGATTTACAAAGAAAGCTCGTATTCTTTCTCTTGCAAAAGCGTCACCTCATAAGCCTTGTTCTCTCATAGAGTTGGTCTGGTGTAATACACAGATGTCATCCAATTAGCTAATGAAAGATATCACAATTCTCAATCCGTTCAGTATTGGCGTTCAAATTGGTGCGATATTACTGCAATATACCTTCGGGCAGAGTAAATACAATCTATTATACAGAACAAAGTAATTATAACAAGACAACTTCAGTGGGTTCGGGATTACATTTTTATACCAAAACTGTAGAAATTAAAAAAAATAAACATTAAAAAAATCCTATATAGCTAAAAACCAAAAAATATGATATGCCCACATACCACAAATACATAAAAACATTGAAACCAGCCAACATGTAAAAAAAATCTATATTATTGTGAAAATTTTATTTCACTTGTGTATTTGTGTTTCCATCGCTGTCTGTGTTTGAAATATTACGCTTCGAAACATTTCCAGAATCCACGTTTCGGATAAGATTTTGAACTTATCCACCAGCCATCAGTGTACTCGAATACGTACCACGTCGAATAAGTCATATAGTCATATACTATATATACATATAGTATTTCTTACCCTCTTTTGTTAGTGAGGTAAACATTTCAGTTCACTAAGAATTTTCGAGTAGTTAGCGCGGTCCAGTGTTTAATGTGCCGAACTATGGATCTGAAGTTCCTGGCTCTTGTTCTAGTACCAGAAAAGAAATAAATAAATCGCGATCCGCAAATTTGGGGCTTACGGTGCGTTATAAGCTGACGTACAACTTCCACTCTTTGATGAGAACAGCTCAAGTCTATCATAAGATCGTCCTTTGAGTTTCTAGATGCTGAGACATTTTTGATATTATATAAGACTTATGTAAGACCACATTTGGAGTATTCTGTACAAGCTTGGTCACCGTACCTAAAATAAAAAAAAAGAGTGCAAATAAAAGCCACAAAACTGGTTCCTGAGCTAAAGCATATGGAGATAGACTGAAGAGATTATATCTAACTATACTGGAGGAGAGCAGGTATGGAGGAGACATAATAGAGGCCTTTAAGATAAGATTATCAAGGGATTTGAAAATATAAATGCTAAAACATTATTTATAATGAATCCAAGGGAACCAGCAAAAAATATATATAAAACATTGTAATAAAGAAATAAGAAGAAATTTCTATACACAAAGAGTAGTAAACAAATGGAATTAAATAGTCAATCATGATAGAGATATCCTGGAAGCAGTGTTGGTGAATGCTTTTAAGAACAGATATGATAAATATAAAGACTATCAAGCTCAAGCACCTAATTGTTAAAGAAAAAAAAAGAAATCGGTATAAATAGTGATAAACTTCAAAATGTTATTTGTGGAGAGGCGGGAAACAAGCACTAATAAGTGCACTCAAACTCACATATTATTACTGTCAATATCATTTCAAAATTAGGGACAGCATCAAAGATACCTCTCGAGTAGGCTTCCGCAAACTTCAACGAACAAAAATATAGTTTCGAAAAAATTCACACATACAATTTTTAGCTATGTGTTTATACTTTTAACAACAATTTTACACAAATTTGATTTTGAATCCAAGATAGACAAGAGGCATGCCATAAAAAAAAAAACATTCGCAGTTTACGCGATTTTTGTCACATATTTTAAGTGTATTAGTTTTATTATTTCTCCGGCTATCGGCTTGTAAACTGTAAATTAATTTTAACAATTGTACTAACTAATATAGAAACTTTGTAGGTGGTAATGCAGTCGATGACACTGATGAGAACTTAGATTAGAAGTTGTATGTGCGAATATTCTACTATTAAAATAAACGAAGGAAATATACCTAAATTCTACATTATGAGGTGATCATAACTGAATCCTTGTTTCGATTTGCTATTTTTTATCGTCTCAGCTGCATGCAGTTTTCACAAACGAAGTGAAATTTCGAAAACGGTATTCAAACTGAACTTCTTGTAATTTTTGTATTTGACTGTCTACTCGTCTTTGATTTTGAGTTTCTAGTTCTACTATTATATTTATAGCACTACTAATATTAATAATAGTAATCCTATACTACTAATAGTAGTAGTCCGTGTATTGGTGTAATTATATAATAAAAATACTTGCTAAGTTGGGCTATATGTTTTTAGTTGCGATAGAATTTGACTATGACAGTACGAGTGCTATGTAAAGTTTAGGCTATGCTTTGCCATAGTGTTTTAAATTTAACGTACATATTTTAGTTTAAGTTTTAAACGTGGTGAATTATTATCAGCTCAACTTCAACATTTCTAGTAAGTTAAATACGTTTGGTATTTAATTTTAAATAGTATGTTATATTTTAATTTCAAAACTTTTAGTCATTAATATGTTGAATTAAGTTTAACAAAAACTCAGGTTTTTAAAATCCCAATGCTGTTTGTTGCTCATGTTACTGTTACTTTTTTGCAGAATGCATTATTGTTGCGAATAATAAGTAGTGTATACATCTTGTATATTTTCTTTGCTTATTTTCTAACATACATTTATAATTTAAAGTGAGTGTTAATATGACTAGTAGTAGTATGTAGGAGTCCAGTTATTTAGTTAAATCACAATCTAGATATGTATAAACAGACAAAAAACGAAAATTTACCCTTTTATAGTTGGCAGTTTCATTAGACTGTGAGGGAAGTAAATTTTGGTTAATTTTTACAAAAGTGGTTTAGTATTTGAATTTGTCCCATTGTGGTCAGGATTTTGTTTGTATATTATCTCATAAGCAATGTCTAGGATGTATGATTTATCTTTATAAGTTATATGCTTTTACAGTGTATATTGGATATTATGTTAACTGTTGTTAGAATAGCAAATTAATGGAACATGCTAAAATACAGTGAATATTTATAGCATTACAATTTTGTTGAGTTACTAATGAAAATTAGTTTTACCATTCTCAGTAACATGTGAACATGAACTTTTACTAATTAGTTGTATTTGGTTTAGAGATAAAATTTAGGGTAGCTAAGAATGTATGTTTGTAATGAATTTTTGAGTTTATATGTTTGAATGATTATCGTAATACATTAACTTAAGAGTGCAGTAATTTTCAACTATTTATGATAACCCAGACATGAAGCAATTAGTTTTCTCTATGAATACATATTTATTCTTACCATATATGACCTGGCAATAAATTATGTCAAGGATTAGTTTTTGCTATCCTTGAAAGTGACCAATGTACTGAAGAAGATCACTACCATCTCATTGAATCAAAGAGTCATTTAAGCCTCTGTAGGTTTGTTAGTCTGGTCTATGTTTACTTATAATGCAAAATACATATGCAAGTATTTAAAAATAGTTGTTACGTAACTGACTGTTGAATTATGTGGGCAACCACATACATTCAAGGTGAAATTTCACTATTTATTTATCTTAATATGTTACTTTTAGCTCTCCAGAAGGCATCCTTAAAAACATATATTTATTTCAATTAACAAATAGTGGTGTTCCAAGAAATTCAAGATAAATTTAGAACGTACAATACCAAACCATTTTCTTTTGTCAAAATTTCACATGTTTACACTAGGAATGGTAGTGACTAAATCAAGAAACACCATGTTAAACATTCATCATAAACCAAGCATCACAAGATTGTATCATTGAAATTTTAATAACAATACAAACTTATTCATCAGCAAGCCATTTCTCTACTATGTTTCTACTTCCTCAATAACAAAGTTTCTAGAAGATTTTGGTGGAGTTAGACTTCAGTTTTGTTCAATGGAATACTTTGATGGTCTGGTTCTACAGTTTTTACCCTACACAATGAAACTGACAGAATATCATCAAACATAGTATCTATAATGCCTAAAAAAGGAAGATGTCATTTAATATAGTTCTTTAATTTATCTTAGTAGTAATTCTACTAAGTATTCTAGACTTACTGTATAAAAGCTTCACGTACATTACCTTCTTCTATTGTTTGTTCTTGATTCTAGTATACTCTCCCATCTTTTTCAACAGAGCCTTGTTTGATGTCTTGCAGCATCCCTCTTATTGTCTTCAACAGTCTAGCTTGATGGCTTTCTCAAATACTGTTATCTTTCTCAACACTGTCTTGCGTGCTGGAACACTCTCTTATCTTCCTTAACAGCCTTACATAATAGAACACTGCTATCTTCCTCAATGGTCTTGCTCGCTGGAACACACTGCTATCTTTATTAACAGCCTTACGTGATGGAATACTTTATTATCTTCCTCATCAGCCTTACTTGCTGGAACACTCCTATCTTCCTTAACAATCTTATTTGATAGAATACTCTCCTATCTTCCTCAACAGTCTTGCTTGATGGAACACTCTACTATCTTCCTCAAGAGTCTTACTTGATGGAACACTCTCTTGTCTTCCTCAACAGCCTTACTTGCTGGAACACTCTACTATCTTCCTCAAGAGTCTTACTTGATGGAATACTGTACTATCTTCCTCAACAGCCTTACTTGATGGAACACTACTATCTTCCTAAAGAGTCTTACTTGATGGAATACTGTACTATCTTCCTCAACAGCCTTACTTGATGGAACACTACTATCTTCCTCAAGAGTCTTACTTGATGGAATACTGTACTATCTTCCTCAACAGCCTTACTTGATGGAATACTGTACTATCTTCCTCAACAGCCTTACTTGATGGAATACTGTACTATCTTCCTCAACAGCCTTACTTGATGGAATACTGTACTATCTTCCTCAACAGCCTTACTTGATGGAACATTCTCCTATCTTCCTCAACATTTCTCAAGAATTGCTTGCATTTTCTTATTCATATGGAGTTTTTGTTTTGTTTTGAATACTTTAAGAAAATTAATAGTATATCATGTACAAAGCTAATATAGAGTTTTTCTAATGTTTTGAAATTTTTTTAGAATGAAATAGTTGATCACGTATAAAATTAATTCAATGAAACAACTATTATTTAAGCAAGGGTTATGTCAATAATATCCCTAAAAAAGTCAGTTTTCTAAAAAGGACTGATTTATGTTGTGGGTTTAGCATCTGGGAAGGTCTGTAAAGTGGTTGGTGCACTTTAATTAGCACCTGGTATGAACTGTTTTTACTGAGTTTTGTACTATACTGAGCACCTGAGAAGGTCTTTGAACTGGGTTGTATATTATACTCAATGCCTGGGAAGGTCTGTGAATTAGGTTGTATACTATACCCAGCACCTGGGAAGGTCTGTGAATTAGATGGTATACTATACTCAGCACCTGGGAAGGTCTGTGAATTAGGTTGTATACTATACTCAGCACCTGGGAAGGTCTGTTAACTAGGTTGTATACTTTTATGCATGCTTTTGTTTGGAGTTTGACATAAGTCCTTCTTTCTTTTCCTTTGCAGTTTGATGTCTGCTTTTTTGTAAATGGTTTGACGTGCTTTTGTTTGCAGTGTCATATGATGTGTACCTTTCAGTATTTGCAGTTTGTCATGAGCCCTTATTTGTTTGTAGTTTGATGTCATCAGTGTTGTTCTGTTATAGGGATAAATAGTAGATCTTCTGAAAGAAGTATTTGCAGTATGAAAAAATAGAGTGCTAGACTGTGTTTATTCTACACATACTGTATTCATTGATAATATTTGTTTTGAAGTAGTTTCAGGTAGCACTATCCCTTAAAACTGGGCAAATTTACATGCTGAGGAAACACTTCAACACTTCTTATAACCTTCAGGTTCAGCACAAAACAAAAGTATGATGTTACAATCCCAGAAAATACACTTTCAATTGTATATGTGTCATATGCATAATTAATGCAACAGGGATAAAAATGTCCATAACATAAACTGTTTTAACACCATAACTTTACTTAGGAATGGTAAAAACATGTGAAAATTGATATACTTGCTCTTTATGAACATCCTCATAGCTTGAATTATAAACTTTGCAAATTTTCTGCAACATTAATGAACTATGAGCAACTAATTTTAATTAATGCCTTCATTAGTAGTAATTAGACTCATAACAAGACAATTGGTAAAGATTTTTGAATTTTGAAAAATTCAAGCTATGGAAGAGTTTAATAGCAATAAGTGTGCTAAATTTCATGATGATACTGGTTCTAATGTTGAGATTATCATGTTAACAAATTGGTTATTCCAGTGAAACTGTTCCGACAAGATACCTTACTTCTGATAGCATATGTAGCTATTCTTGTTCAGTGCTGCTCTATATTTGCAAAAAATGTTTGTGTGCCACGATCCTGTCACTCCCACACATCCTTCGATTCACATGGTTTAACTGATCCTCGCATGCAAATTATCATGCGACAAACCTTCACCAATAGTAGTGTCACACACCCGTGTGAGTCATGTGACTCTCTCCATACCATTTTACATAATTATCACTTCTCATTTGGCAAAGGGTCCCACTCTGTGGCGAGTGGAGTCTGCTCAGATATTTTCTTCCATCACTTAGAATTGTACTAAAACTCACACTATACAGCCATGTTGACTTCACTTTCACTAATTTCCATGGCCACAAAATGCACGCTGTTCTCTACTGTCACATAAACTGGAGATGGAGTGTTCCACAAGATTGCTCATAAGTTATTCCTCACAATATCTTTGCTTCATAAATATGCCCATTCCGAACCGTACTAACCCATGGAGTTTATGGGTAAAGCAGAAAAGGGTTGCTTCCCATCCCTGCTATTCCTTAAATTGAATACATTGGGTTTGATCTGCTTTTCAAAATAGGGTTTTGTGGTCACACATTGCACTGTCTCCAGTGTGAACATTTCTCCTGACCCTCCACTGCATCCCCCTCTTTCTTCCAGTGGTGTAAGAGGGTCCTTACCACTTTCCAGTTCCAAGCTGCTATGTTGATGGACCTGAATGAGAGATATACAATACGAAGACATTATGAGTTATTAATGTAGAAAATAGATTAAACTTTCGATTTAGGTTGAGTTTGACAAATGTGATTTTTGAAATGTTGGGGGTGCTCTTTAAGTGTCAATGCTAGTTTAAAAGCTCATTAACTTATTTCCAATGCATGTGTTATGTATAGTTGATGAATGATTTATTTTAAGACTACTACTTAAATGTACCATGGAAGTGCTATGCTTTTAGAAAATGTAAATTGATATAACATGAAAATAATCTACTTCATATGTTAAAATCCCAAGGTGTGTTTATAAGCTAGTAAGTTTTCCTGTCCATTACTAATAGTTTTTAAGCAAGAAAATCACAATGCCTTCTGGTTTTAACAGGAAACATTCTGAAAGAAGCTCATCCTTTCTTTAATATTGATTGTTTTGCTTAGGAATGGATAATCAACTGTTGAGACGATCGGTTGGGAAGAAAGGTGGCCTGAAGACCATTAAGGAACTGGATGGTTTTACTAAAGTGTCTGAGAGTTACACACAGTCTTCAGTTTCTGGAGGAACTAGTAAGGTTTACCACCCAAAGCTTCATTAGTAACAGTTTTTAAGTGAGAGTTACAGCTGTTTTTATTAAATGTTTTTTATATATTTTCTGTTAGTGTATCAGTTTATTGAGTGTTATCAGAGTACTAACAAAGAATACAAGTCTGAATTACATAATGTTAACTTTGGTGCAAAGTTGTGTGTTTGTGTATTGTATACCTCATCTTAAAGATTTTACAAAATAAAAAAAACTTGACAACTTTTCTCCTGGTTTGTCTGGTCACCCAAAAGCACTTGGGTTTCTCATTTTATGATTTGTCTAGTTTTAACTTACATGATTTCTTAGCATCATAAATGATTTAATTATTTTCGACAACAATTAAGTACCTTTGTAAATTTATTATGAAAACTTCGTAATTCTTGTAAAGCATTAGATTTGAATATGATGTGAGGAAGTGTATACATGTAAAGACATCCATATCAAACTGAACATAGCTGTTTGCAAAATTAATTAATTAAGACTTTACTCACACTAACTGAAGTCTTGTTTTCAATAATCAACTAAGACTGTACATATTAAAAATTTAGTCTTCTTTTCAGTAATTTACTCAGAATTTACAGACTTTGTGACTGTAGTCTTGTTTTTAATAATTATCAAAGACTACACAGTTTATGACTAGTCTTGTTTCTGTGTTTGCCCAACAAAAAAATATCATTAATGAGCTTTGTATAGAGGAGAACGTGCTCTTTATTGGTTATAAACATGCCCATCAGCTCGTTTAGATATGATATATATATATCTAATAATAAGTTAACAAACAACAGTTTATAAACTTATTGAAGTGGTCTGTTTTTGGGAGAACATAATATTTTGACAAAACATTGACCTATCTTCTTCAAAAGACCTACTTTTAAATTGTTGTTTGCTCTCTTATTATATTAACAAAATGTGCCTCTATACTCCAGATATATATCTTGAAAAACAAGACAGATTCACAAATTTATTGATATCTCAACAGGTTGGCAGTAGAAGGGTCAAATTTTATATTCTTGCTTGTACTGATGAATAGTTTGTGTTTCTAGTTGGTTAGACACTGAAATCTTATTAAAGATATAAAATCAAATGGGGAAAATTCAGAATGCAGAAATGATACACAGAAGTGGAGGTTGAGAAATTTTTGAAATACTTTCTTCTGCAGTTAAAAACCTAGATTATATAAAATTTGTATTGTAGTCTATTGACATTCATTGACAATAAAGTTGTTTGATTGTATTTTGAATGTAACTCTGTAAAAGGTTGTGATATAAACACTTTGACTCAATCTTATGCATATGGTTAAATATATGTGCCAATATATTTTAATGTTTCTGTTTTCAGTTTCTGTGATTAGCTTTACTTTGATTGTGATCTTGGTGATATCAGAAATTGTACACTATACTTCAGGCAGGGTTAAGTTCCAGTATACTGTTGACAGGGAGTTTGATAGGTAAGTAGATCTTTTAAATTTAATGTACATCAGCACTTGTACTCGAAATTTAATCCCTATTACAAACTCTGTCCCTTGTCAGTTTTACCAGTTTTAGTCTGTGTGTATTTTTTCTCTCAAGATAGTCCTATATGAGACCTCTGTCTTTCAAAATGGTGTCAGGTCAGACTAGGAAACAGTATTTTTGGCCAGATCAATTTATGTCTAACAAATACATGTATATTGTTTTTCAGTAAATAATAAGTTGTTTTGATTAATCCTTTTTCTGCATAGTTCGGATATATCCAAATATACATATTTACTCACTGACTGTGAAATTCGGATTTATGGTTAACAAAAAAAAGTTTCCATCTACTACAATATGGGAGAATATCTCCCTGTACTTGAAATAATTATCAAACCTGCATGCTATCTGCCATGTGTTTTACACCATGAAACCTGGATGTTTATATGCGTTATTACAAAATTGCCAACTTTGTAGGAACACGTATAGAATCTATATAAAAACAGTTTCTATATATCTTGGATATTGTTATCTAAATAATTTGTTTTATATTTTGTAATGATTGTGGCCTCTTATTGATTTAGTTTTGCTTATATTTATGCCATTTACTGGAGAACACTTTTCTTCTTCAAGTTTTTGTTTAAATCATGATTTAACACTATAAAAAATGGTTTTCAAGGATTATTACTGTCAGATATAGGAAATATAGCCTCTTTGAATATTGAAAAAGTAATACAAAGGGTCAAGTTCATACTTTTATTTGTTGGTGAATAATTGACACTTTTGGGAATCAGCTTGAAAATTAATTGCACTGTGAAAGGGTTAAATGAAATAACCAGTGAATCTTTCAACTTGTTTTACTTGCTTTACACCTTCAACAAAATCAAACATTATCTTTAATAAACTTATCACTCACATTAAGATTGTTGTATTGTAAGAATATGTATATCTTGCATGTGATCAAAAGCCAGTGATGAGCATGTAAACAGTATAGTATAAACATTGTTATATAGAGAAAGAGTTTCTTACCTAGATGAATGAAAGCCTATATGGAAAAGTTCAATAATATTAAACAAATTGAGTAAGACATGTTTAAGTTATCATCGAAATGAAACTGAATTAAATTGAAGAGAGGGGGTCATCTATTATATTTGTTTGTTATTGGTTTATATTTTTCTATAAGAAATTGATTTTTTATTTTTTGATCTGAGAAGTTGTTGGGCAACCCATCTTTGTTATACCATGATTCAAGATACAGTGTTTAGCTACTGCACTTCTTTCACCTTTGCTCTATTCCCAGAATGTTTTTACCTATACATTTATGGAAGGGTCTCTTAATATCTCCCCCGTAATGTTTTCACCAATACATTTATGGAAGGGTTTCTCAATATTTCCCCCAGAATGTTTTCACTGATAAATTTATGGAAGGGTCTCCCAATATCTCCATGTAGGTGACTTGGTCTTTGCAGTCTACTTGGTATCTGCCACTCTTTGTTAATACTATCCTCTCAATTTGAGGAATTAACAAAACTCTCTCTTATTTTTGCAATGTGCATTGAAAGCAGAGCTAGCAAGAGTCTGTTTTGAGGTCACCACCGGTTTCAATACTGATTTAATGCATAGACCACCGAGGGGCAAGGACATAAAGGGGTCCCAATGGCCACTCAAGTAAAACAGTTATGGTTTGTAAAACTAGCAGAATAGAAGCAAAAGTAAGTTATTATTATTCCCAAATACTACATGGGCATAGGGCTCCACTAAATCTTAATCTGGCTGTAACTGGTGTACATATGATTCTAAGTGAGGTATTGGACTTTTTTACAGCTTTGTATAATTGCTTTATTAGGTCATTGTTCATATATGGTATCTTTCATGTAGCAGAAGAATCATTGTACCCTATGGCTTTGATGTACGGTATTGGCCATGTAGCAGGATCATTTTTTTTACTTTATGGTTCTAGTTCTGTATGGTGTCATCCATGTAGTGGGATAATCCTATGGTTCTGATGCATGGTATCACCAATATAGCTGGAATTGGGTACATGGATTATCCAGCTATATTGATGATACCATGCATCAGAACCATTGGGTACATGGATTATCCAGCTATATTGATGATACCATACATCAGAACCATAGGGTACAAGGATTCTCCAGCTATATTGGTGATACCATGCATCAGAACCATAGGGTACAAGGATTCGGTTCTGATGCATGGTATCATCAATATAGCTGGATAATCCATGTACCCTATGGTTTTGATGCATGGTATCACCAATATAGCTGGATAATCCTTGTACCCTATGATTACGTCATTGCTGATATCAAATTTTCACAAAGCTGTTAAAGTTCTGGTGACTTTTGGTCCACCAATCATTGAGAATTTGGTTGACCAAATAATAAAATTTATATTGTCAAATATATTTTGTTTTAATTGGCAATGGTAATCATTAGACTGCAGTCTGACTTTAGTAATAACACAGACTTAAAAAAGACAAAAACATTTCAAATAATTATATGTATATTGTTTCAGACTTAAATAGGTTTGACCATGCTACCTAACATATTCAACTGATTTGATCTGCGGCAATGGCTTTCCGTGGCATAATACAACATAACACATATAAAATGTTCTTTGTATTTGTTTATAATTTTGTTATATTCAATAGTTACTATGTATATGTTCAGTTGAATTTAATATTAATTTAGAAGGTTTATTAATCTGTTTTTCTTTTATTTAAAAATTTAGCTTAGAGTAATGTTAAATGCTTTATTAAATTCCTGAGCTGGACAATTCTAGCAGAAACTTTTCTTGGTTAACATGTTTCAACTGATATTATGTAATATCTTCTAGTATTAGTCATTTATGATTTCATACTAACATATTAGGTCTTATTATTACTGTCATCATATTCATTAATTTTTTGACTGATCTGAGATCTAATTACATTTTTGGACTCAGGAGGTCACACCCTTTCATTCGATGTATTTGCCCATGCTCAAGGTGTCATAGAATATTTTATTCTAATCCTGCCTAAAAGATTTTCAATTTGAGGGTAGGCTGGTAGAGATCCTGATGAGTAATAAAATTAAATTGGGTAGTATATGCATGCCCCATGTTTGGTATTGTTGGCACACAAAGATATAGCTAACAAAAGGGAAACAAAGGTCTTGTAGTTTAATCTACTTTAATCCTGTCTACAAGAGTTTCAAGTGTTGCAGCTATTGAGGATTCCCTCTTGTTTTTTCTTCCAGTCATTGGAATTGTGGTTATGTCTATTTGTGTTGCTGTTTTGTAGAAGGATTTGTCTAAGCTCTTATTTTTCATACTGTATTTTTGCATCTGCACATGTTTTGTCTCATAATCATTCCTTTCCTTATAGTGAAACTGAAAGTGTAGAATTATTGATTTCTCACGTGTGTATTTTTCCATTTTTCAATATTAGCAGAATGTACATGTTGTTTGAGGTTTCAAGAGTGGGGTGTATCTTACTGTGTACATCAGTTAAGTGCATTTTTTCAAGCACCAAATATGTAGTAACAGCAGGCTTTCCTGTAAGATAGGGCTTTTTTTTTAAAGGTATGTAAAAACAGAAATAACTAATCCAACTACATACCATTTTGGATTTATTGTTAAATATCAGTTAGGTGTAATCCAACTACTTACCGATAGCAGCATTGTGGATTTGTCTTTAAAACCTAACTGATATTTAAAGACAAATCCACGGTGTTGCTATTGGTAAGTAGTTGGATTACATCTAACTGATAGTAATTCAACTACTTACCAATAACAGGACCTTGTATTTGTCGTTAAATATCAGTAAGATGTAATCCAACTACTTACCGATAGCAGCACCTTGGATTCATCATTAAATATCAGTTAGGTGTAATACAACTACTTACCGATAACAGGACCTTGTATTTGTCGTTAAATATCAGTAAGATGTAATCCAACTACTTACCGATAGCAGCACCTTGGATTTGTCTTTAAATATCAGTTAGGTGTAATTCAACTACTTACTTATAGTAGCACCATGTAAATATCAGTAAGATGTAATCCAACTACTTACCGATAGCAGCACCTTGGATTTGTCTTTAAATATCAGTTAGGTGTAATCCAACTACTTACTGATAGCAGCATTGTGGATTTGTCTTTAAATATCAGTTAGGTGTAATACAACTACTTACTTATAGTAGCATTGTGGATTTGTCTTTAAATATCAGTTAGGTGTAATCCAACTACTTACCGATAGCAAAACCGTGGATTTGTCTTTAAATATCAGTTAGGTGTAATTCAACTACTTACTTATAGTAGCACCATGTAAATATCAGTTAGATGTAATCCAACTACTTACCGATAACAGCACCGTGGATTTGTCGTTAAATATCAGTTAGGTGTAATACAACTACTTACTTATAGTAGCATTGTGGATTTGTCTTTAAATATCAGTTAGGTGTAATACAACTACTTACCGATAACAGGACCTTGCATTTGTCGTTAAATATCAGTTAGGTGTAATACAACTACTTACTTATAGTAGCACCATGTAAATGTCAGTTAGATGTAATCCAACTACTTACTTATAGTAGCACCATGTAAATGTCAGTTAGATGTAATCCAACTACCTACCAATAGCAGCACCTTGGAGTTGTTGGTAAATACAATATTTGGATAAATAGTTAATAAGTGATTCGAGAGGCTGATGATTAGTAAATTGACTGATTTTAAAATAGTAGAACTTGGGATACTGTCTCTCTTCAAACTGTAAATCAATTCTAATTTTTGATAACAATGAATTATTGATATAAAGTTTTGTATAAGATTTATCCAAAATTTTTATTTAACTTTGAAGGATTCTTCACACTGAGTGTATTTTTACTATTTTTTTTCAGAAAGCTGAAAATAAACATAGACATCACTGTGGCTATGCCCTGTGCAAGTAAGTCTCATTTGGAATATAAACTGTCTTAAAAATTGACAACAAATATATATGTATTAACCTTTCTCATTATAAAAACAGAATATTATATTATTTTTCAGCTTTATTTATATCAAAGATTTGTAAACACAGTAATTTCAGCCTCATCCATGCTGTTTCAGCATTTTGAAGTGTTAATATTTGTTGAATGATTTTTAGTTTGTTAACTTTATTTAATGTCTTGACAAATTCCTTTTGGTTTCATATATTGTAGAAAACACACATCATACTTTTTTGCCTTTTGTTAATATGATCATAAGACCCAGATATTTCCTCAGAATATTGTTTCTGTAGTCCTGCTGTTTGTTTCTTTAGTGATAGGTGCTGATGTGTTAGATGTGACCAATCAAAATGCACAGACCTTTGGTAAACTAGAGCAGGTACCTACTCGATTCAGTTTATCACCTGAACAGAGGATGGACTGGGAAATGCTACAACAGCTAAACACCCACATCAGACAACAATATCATGCCATCCAAGACATCATTTGGAATATAGGATTTTCTGATATACTTACAGGCATTTCAACAAGGTAAATGTTATAAGTGTTTGTGTTATTACATAAATACCCTGATGAGATACTTTCTAGGTATTTAGATAATTTAATGATTTATATGTATGCTTAGTCAACAAACTTGTGTTTTGTACCATTGTATTATACTTATAATTGTGGTAAAACTGATTTCTCCCAAGACTGACAAGAGAGATTTGCAGAATAACAAGAGATTCAATCAGGGTAAAACATACAGTGAAAACATCTTTATTTAAACTAAAAAAATAATCAAAATATAGTGTGCTATTGATCAATTACTGTAAAATATGAGGGAGGTCGTAACCTTCAAATGTCTATCATCTAACCTCTCATTGAAGAACACTTGTCTACATTTTTACAGATTTTCAGAAATAACTAATACATGTTGAATTATACTCATATAAGAAAGTAAGCAATAGTTATATATCACATAAAGAAAACCATTAATATGCTCTGTGAATGAAAACCATTATTAACAACTTGGTTAAACTGTAATGATGAAGTATTTTATATGAAGAAATAAAATATTTCTCACTTCTCTGAATCTATAGATTTGGTACAAGGCAAAATACACGGGGTTCTTGTAACTGTTAGGGTTTCATTCTTTCTGTGATTCCATGTTTTGAGTATTTTGGAATTAATTTTTGTCCACGATGTTTTTCTTGTTTACTACAGTGAATTAGAGCCTATGGAAGAAGCAGATGCATGTAGATTATATGGAACGTTAGTTATTAATAAAGTTGCTGGGAATTTTCATATCACAGCAGGAAAGTAAGTGTTAACAGACTTGGTCCATATCTATACATCTGTTTGATAATATATATATAGATACTAATGTTGTTGTTAACAAAGCCATATCTAACATATATAATATAGAGAGACTGAGGTTATCCAGTAAATTTAAAATGTTGAAATAAATCTGGAATGAATTGTTAACAATATACAGACTGTGAGGTTATCTAGTAAATTTAAAACATAGAAATAAATCATGCATCAGTTTCTTATCACAATCGCTTTCATGTGTCCCATTGGTGGGTCACAAACAATTATGTTTCAAAGCCAAATTTCTTTTGTGGCATACAAATTTGGGACACTGTGACTACTTGTCAGCACCTCTTGAATAGTTAGTTTTATTTATATGTAATTTATTAAAACTACTGGTGGCAGCAAACATATTAACAGTATATAGACTGTGAGGCTTTATAGCAAATTTAAAACATTGAAATAAATCAGGCATGGGTTGTTAACAATATTCAAAATATGAGGTTATATGTAGTAAATTTAAAACACCTAAATAAATCACGCATGGGTTGTTAACAATATTCAGAATGTGAGATTATCTAGTAAATTTAAAACATTTAAATAAATCAGGCATGGGTTGTTAACAATATTCAGAATGTGAGGTTAATTTAGATATGTGAATAATTTTAGTAATAGTTTCAGAGTGATGGGAAACTTTTTTTGTTAACTCTTTTAGCACGGGCTCCATCCCTGGGAACGATCTCATAAACATTTTGTGCTTGTTATAGTTTTCATGCTGTAACTTTTAAATTATTAAGCGAATGTTAACAAAATTTGGCAGATTATCAGTAAACATTACAATGCTTTCATACACAAAATATCAGATTTTTTTATTAAGTCTTAAGGTTTGTAAAGCAATATTTTGTCTCATGTCTTTTTTTTCTTTTCACATGTTGCCTATCTATCATGCAAAGTAATATTCATTTTAAGATTAAAAAATACATTTTTGCACCAGAAAATTTTCAAATTTCGCATGTGAAATCTTTATAATGTCCAGATAGTTATCAAACGTTTCTTAAGAAAAAAAACTTTATATTTTATGTTATTTTCAGTAATTTGAACCAGTGCTGCATTCAACATACCACGTGACACACAAAAATCTATGTTCAACTGTTTTTTTTTATTTGCTTTTACTTTAAGAAATTGAGTAATATATAGCACTAAAATTTGAATTATAATCTACAGTTTGATACCAAAGTTATTGACATAAATTTATGAAATAGTAGTTCAATAACATTTTGAATTTGAGTCAATAAAGGAAATGACCTTTCACCCATGACCTGTCTCGAAAGGGTTAACTTAAAATAGCAAAAGTGCTGCAGAGTTAAAAAGAATATTCACCAAAGTTTTTACAAAATTTTTATAGCTTTATTTCTTGTTAATTAGACATTCAAAGAAAAAATAGCTTTATAAACTTGGATGTTTGGGATAGTCATGATATATATAAATATGATTATTTATGTGATGTAATAATGAGTTTGAGAAGGTGAAGATTGGTTATCATGAGAATAAAGCATTGTGATTAGGGCTTGTATATCTAGGCTGGGACATATATAGTGCATTGGGAAATATACATCCCAGCTGCATTGAATAGGTTAAGGAATTCTTATTTTCTGTTTAATAAGATTTTTGTATGCCTTCTGATTATTTCTTAATTTTTCCACAGACACATTCCACTTCCCTTGGGCCATGCACATATTTCTATGTTTCTCTCTGATAGAGGTATGAACATTTTTTGTTACTATTATTATGTATTTAAAAGGTCACTTAATTAGCAGTATAATTTTTGCTAATTTTCTTTCATTTTCAGTTGCCCCCATTGGAGCAGAGCGGTATGTCTACCGACATACAATGCTAGAAACTGGGTTTCGATACCCCTGGTGGACAGAGCACAGATAGTCCATTGTGTAGCTTTGTGCTTAACTTCAATAACAAACAATCATTTTCAGTCATTAAAAATTAGAAAATGTTATTACAAAAATAAAATATGGCAAAGTCAAACCTTTTGAGCTGAAGTTAACTGACTGTGATTGTCAGCATTGACTACATTGCTGTTGTACTATCGTACAAAGTTGTGATACAGTAATTAAATTAACACAGTAGTTGCAAAATCTCTATTTTTTCTTTCTTGTATTGATTAAAGCAGTTATAAGTAGTGCAGACCTTAAGATACAGAGAAGAAATTTTATAATTGGAAAAATAAGGTAAACTAACAGAAGTACTGATGTATGTCTTTAGACAGTAGTATTATTTTATTGATTCACTCTGGACTTACCTACTCCATTTTCTATAGAAAGTAACATTAATTTGTTGTTCCAGTCCAGACTTGTTCAGTTGTCTCTACAGTAGTATTTAAGTCCAGATTTGTTCAGTTGTCTCTTGACAGTAGTATTAATTTCTTATTTCAGTTTGGACTTCCTTACTCAGTTGTCTTTAGACAGTAATTTGTTTCAGTTTGAACTTATTTACTCAGTTGTCTTTAGACAGTAATTTGTTTCAGTTTGAACTTACTTACTCAGTTGTCTTTAGACAGTAATTTGTTTCAGTTTGAACTTACTTACTCAGTTGTCTTTAGACAGTAATTTGTTTCAGTTTGAACTTACTTACTCAGTTGTCTCTAGACAGTAGAATTAATTTGTTGTTTCATTTTGAACTTACTCAGTTGTCTCTAGACAGTACAATTAATTTGTTGTTTCAGTCCAGGCTTCTAAGTTTTCTCTAGACAGTAACGTTAATTTTTTTATTCCATTCAGACTTCTTCACTTGTTCTTTCACTGTATAATACATTGTGACCAATTCTTTTTCTTTATTATTTTACTGTTACAGATTACAATTTTTCTCACAGAATTCAGAAATTTTCATTTGGGGATGAAATAGAAGTTATTGATCCACTTGCAGGAGATGAAAAAATAGCACCAGAAAGTAAGTTTAATTAATCATTTGTCTGTTGTGTAAGTTAGCATTAGGTGGAAACTGGATGTGAAAAAAAAAATATTGTGTTACAAGCAAGTCTTCCAAGAGACTAACAAAGAAATGTATTCTATTCCTACAACATACAATGATAATATGAATATTAACTTTTGTAAATTTATACAAGATATTATAAACTTGTTTATTTGGGAATATGGCTGTAACACACAATATAATATACATGTAACATGCAGATATTAAGGTTGGAAACAAAATTTGATTTCATTAAATATTTAGATGTATATGAATATCAGGTACAAAGCTAATTTTAGTTTTAGGTGTTTTACACATTTGGGGCAATTTTATATCTCTCTCTGGTCAATATATTAGATAACTTGTTAATCTTTTGGCCATGATGTCAGACACGCTGGACATATGTAAAGAAAGACATTTGAACAAAGTTACTGCCTTCCACCCCCCTTTTTATAATGAGACTTTTGAGGTGGTCTAGAAAAACTTAACTTAAGTATATTCCAAGTTAAGTGAATACTGGAAAAACACATTGATTATATATACAGCAGTTTATTAATTTAAACGTTGATGAACTGTGTTTTTTATTTTGAGTTTAATCAAATTCCTCGCTGCTGCTATCTTACCTAGGAATTCCATAAAAATGCAAATCTAATAAGGGATCTAGTTATATAAAAAAATACTTCTTACTATGGCATTACCAGGGAAAACCAAATCCATTTCCACCAGTAATGAATTTATTGCTCATATTTATATATATCAAATATTGTGTTAAGTTAACAGTATCTTATTTCTTATCTACAGATTATTACTTGTACCAGTACTATCTTAAAATTGTACCTACAGAAGTTGATACCAGCAGAGTGCAAGTCAATACATTTCAGTATTCAGTGACAGAACAGGTACTTCATTGTTTTACATTCTGATGTTTGTACAATACTAACATCAGTTTGCTTTACCATTGAAAAAGTCTAGTAGAAAATAGAGGTTCTAGCATGAACATATTTAATATTCCATATCTACATTTTAACAGATTCATTTTGTATAATTTATCTGACATGTACAAATATTTCTGAAAATGACCAGTTTGTATGTTAACATGATATGCAGAAAGTTGCATCCCAGTTGAAACTATTGTGAACATTTAGTTTTCCAAAATGACCTGAACTGTCATGAACCGATGCATATTTCTTTGGTTTATTTTAAGGAGCGTTCAATTAGTCACCAGGCTGGTAGTCATGGTGTGCCAGGGATATATTTTAAATATGACATGTCGTCTGTGATGGTTAAAGTCTTGGATGAAGGGCAGACTTTGTGGCAGTTCTTAGTAAGATTGTGTGGCATTGTTGGTGGGATATATGCAACATCTGGTAAGTACTTGTTAACATCTAATGCTAGAAAATCATACTTACATTGTGACTCTGTTTCATTCTTCTGTGCCAACTAAATCTTACACTATTGTTTGACCTGTGAAACTAACTTAGTAATACACTACTTCATCTCCGCCACATTGTATAAACTAATTTAACCCTTTCACAACGCGCTTCTGTATTTTACCCAACTTTGGCAAGACTTTAGTAAACATTACAAGAATTTTAGAGACAAAAAATTAAAATTTTTAATTAGGTATTTTTGCTAAACACTTGTCTGTAAATATATGGATTCTGTGTGCAGTTATTTCATGTTAAAAATAAGTTTATTTAACTGAGAATTGTCAAATGTCATTTGTATTATCTCTAAAACTTCCTAAATATATATTGAATTTTTTTTTTATTTTATATTTTCTGTTATTCTCTGTAGCCATCCAGTCAGTTTGACCAACTTTATAACAATCTTAAAAAAATGTGGAAATAATATAAATTACCCTTTGTTATCTAAAATGACTGTGACTTGTAACAGCCAATCCTAAATAGCATAAATCTGTTTCTACATAAACTTTGTTTTATTGTCTAATTAATATTCCTGCCACACAAGTTGTAAATCACTTGGCAAACATGCAGCTTAACTTACCGTATCAACTTATTTAATGCATGTGCTGCTCACAATCTTACCTCTTGAAGAATTTTTATTATTTTGTTACTTTTATAATAAAGAACAAGCAATGTAGTACTTACTTTTTTGTTCTAATGGTATTACTACACTAAATAATTTTATCTACGAAGCAATTTCCTGTAACTATCAAAATTTTTCTGGCTTCCTAGCTGTGAGATAAGAGTCATTAAAAATTCTAATAAGCTCGGGAATGAAGTTTAAGCTGGAAGCGATACAGACAATTCTCTGTACAGAAAACAATATAATGTTATTTGATAGGTTAAAATTTAGCTTTCTATTGGTTATAAATAACATAGTGTTCAACATAAGAGAGAACTATTGGCAATTTGTGAAAAAAGAGGATGCATCAGTTGGACAAGGTGAGCGGGGCTGATTTTCTAATTTATAGCTCCATAAATAAATAAGATTGAAGCCTATAAAAATTATGCCTTGCCTTAGTAATAACTATATTATAATGAGTAATTTATGTTAAATTTCGTACTTCTGAGAGGGGTGATAAATAAATAAGAAGAAAGATCTAGAGAACAAATGTAACAATTCTCATACTATGAAAACTTCAGGATTTTGTAAAATATTTTCTTATAAAAGTAAGAACTTATATATATTAGAATTTGATTTATTGACTACATTTCAATGCCAAGTTTATTTGTATACAACTGTAAAAGTTGGTGACATGCACTTGAATCTACCAGTTGTTAAAGGGGTAATAATGTTTTTCATCATACCTGAAGCCTTACTTTGTGGTGTTAATTTGCTGTACAGGAATATTTGAGAACTATTGCAATTTAAACTACTAGTAAAGTCCAACAAATTACAATATTATTCACAAGTATGTACAGTAGATGTATTAATTATACAAACTGTTGATGCTGTAGTTAGCTATTTTTAGATCTTTTATTATTATTTCTCAGGAATCCTAACTGGATTAACTCAGTTCTTGGTCGATCTTATTACCTGCAAGTTCTTGACTTCTACCAAGAAAAATGACAAATCCTTCATTGGTAATGATACACATATTCCTGTTCAAGGACTTGTAAACTCTTTTACTGAATCCCAACTCTTGGGTACATCACCTAGTGGAACATTACTTCCGGCACCTGCTCAAGAAGAACCTAATTATACTGAACAAGGAATACTGTAAACATCTCAAAGATACAGAGTTTATGTATCGGATAATTTTATAAAGGACTGATATATCACTGTGTAAGGCTTTTATTTTAAAATTGAACACAATAGAAGAAAAAAATAATTCTTCCTTGAGAAGTAGTTAAAAACAAAAAATTAACTGAATAACTAATCCAGTGTTTTTAATCCTACAGTTTTTTAGCTGCTCTTAATTTAGCAGATCGAGCACGGGGATTTTTCAATACTTCTTCTTCGGTGGGAACTATTACTTTATTGTTGATTGGTAGCCAGCGTTTGGTCATAATTAGGTTCATTTCATTTTGACTGTGCAATCTAGCAGCATTTTTATATTTCTGAGTAAGAGAAGGACTTAATGGTTCATCAAGATCAATTCCTAGCATGTGTCGTTTGATGATGCGGTCTTCAAGCGAATGAAAAGTTAATACAACTAATCTTCCTCCAGGACGAAGGTAACGGAAGGCAACTTCCATGGCATAGTTTAGTTCGTTAAGTTCATTATTTACAAAAATACGTAGGGCTTGAAAAACTTTTGTAGCACTGTGACTTTTTCTCTTCAGTTTGTCTAGTCTGAAATCACTACAATAAAAAACAATATATGAAACTGTGCTGATTAGGTGAGAAGTTCATTTGTCATACAAGCCATACTTACAACTTTTCACTAGTGGTAGGCTAATGAAAATTTATTTACAATAGCACTAAAATTATTGGATTTTACAGTATGAATTTCAAAGGAAAGTTATTGTTTTTCTATATTAAAGACATATACACATATGGCTGTAAAATAATTAAAGTAACTTTTTAACTATTTAAACTCCACATAAGTAAAGGTGGAATATTCTAGCTTTATATTCCAATATGGAAATTGCAAGAAAAATCTATTTTTTAATAAGCACTAAATTTAAAGCCAAATGCTTTTTATGAATATAATTATTAAAATGAATTAATTAATTTCAAGAGGAAGTTTTACATAAAAAAGCATCAAGACCTCTGTCCTGGCTATTCAAGAAAGTAAGCTTTGCTAGTGGTAGAATACTGGCCTTCTTAGCCATGTACAAATATAACACTAAAACAAGCTGTCACATAATTTTGCCTAAGATGTTTTTTATTTGTAGATTTTATCTTATTACCTTTGCATAAAAATATTTTTTTTCACATTTTGGACAGTTCTATTATTAACAAACTCCCACTTGATGGTGAGCTTAAATAGTCAGTATCATAAGACATATTTTAAACCAATAATAAAAATTATTTCTAATGTATTTGAATTGTTCGTTTAATAGCATGAGTTATTAGAAACAACTACGAGAGACAGAAGGGTGAACTAATTTACAGCTTAGAGAGTCCTAGGTGCAATAAGTTTGTTCTGTTAGCTTAAATCTTGTATGAGTACTATTCTATACTTTTTAGTCCACTATCTTATGTTATTAAAGATAACATACGAAATGCTTATACAAAAGGTTTTGAACTAATTCATTACAACCCATCAGTTTTCCTCTAACAACTATACCTGCAAACAATTACTGCTTATAACAGAAGAGATACATAAATATAACAAGATTCAGTGTTCCTCCTAAAATACTGGTTACACCAACTTCTAAGTGGTATCAAACGATTCATCTTGGTCCTGCGTGAGGATAAAAATTTTTCATCCCACCCCTTGGGGAACCCAGAGATTCCCAAAAAAACTTCTCTTAAACTGCTGGACTCGCCAACTTTTAAGTGGTACCAAATCAATTGAATTGTCTTGATCCCAAAGTTTGCACAAAAGTAAACTTTTCACTCAATCCAAGTATTTCATGAAAACACTTTTATGTGAATTCTCAGAAAGCAGACCCCAAATGTGACACTGATTTACATTAGTGCACAGAAATTACCATTCATAATTTGATTAAAGAAATTAAATTTGCTTTATAGCAGCAATGATCATTAAACTGAAAATGTGCAAGATAGTACTATAAGCATTAATTTTGCATTATAGTGGCTTTATAATTGTGGGTCATAGGCCCATGGGTTCACTAGTCTTATATATATATATTTCAAACCCCTATTAAGGGCTCAAGCAGAACATTAAAACAGTATAAAACTAGTGTTCATAATACAAAATCTAACTTAAATAAAAGCCAGTGTGTGTCATGTCACACTTGATTTCTCAAAACAGGAAGTGTTATAAAAGTCAAAATGCATTTATCCAGATAGAATAGTTTTATTATTGTCTGTCCATTACAATTTTAGTGACGGGGGATGTGAGAGAATGGGTGTGTGTGTGCTGTAAAATCTTATAAGTGTAGTGAGTGTTGGGATAACGTAGCTTAGATCCAAGTGCATAAAATTTGTCATGAAAATAAAAATATCGATTCAATTTTGAACTTAAATCATTTCTGAATTAAAGTATTTTTTTGTTATATCACTGATGTTTTTTTTTAAACTCTTTAAACAACTAAGACTCTATATTAAGAAATCAACAAATATTTTTCCAGTTTTGTTGTCTTTACATTTATTTTATACTTTCAATACATAGACTGACAACAATATTAGCTTATACTTTTGTTGCTAAGCAACATGACATAAAAGCCATTGTTGAAATGTAGTTACCAAAACACACTGGCTTTTCTATTTATTAGAAGTTGTTAATCTGATTTTTACAATAATTATTTTATCAATATGCCACAAATTCATTTCATGAATGATCTGAATTTTGATTGGCTCACAAAAGAATTTATGGATGTTTGACTGCACTTTTCT